CAATTAACACGAGTGGGACTGCCTGCACAGGGATGCATGGAAAACCTGTGCATCCCCTTGTCGGCAAACAGTCCTTGCACAGGTGTACGCTATAGTACAGCCCTGGCCATATGTTTTGAGAATGACACAAATATAAATTTTCACAAGTCTGCGGCTTCAGTGTTTTTAGATCTTTTTGTCATATGTTACTATGGTATACTGAAGTATACATACTGTACATAGCATTTCATAAGTGTCAAAGGCTTTTATTGACAATTACATTAGGTTTATGCAGAGTCAACATTTGCAGTGTTGCCCCTTCTTTTTCAAGACCTCTGTAATTCGCCCTTGCATGCTGTCAATCAACTTTTGGGCCACTTCCTGACTGATGGCAGCCCATTCTTGCATAATCAATGCTTGGAGTTTGTCAGATTTTGTGGGGGGGGGGGTTTGTTGTTCACCCGCCTATTGAAGGTTGACCACATGTTCTCAATGGGATGACAGTCTGGGGAGTTTCCTGGCCATGGACCCAAAATTTCAATGTTTTGTTCTCCAAGCCACTTAGTGATCACTTTTGCCTTATGGCAAGGTGCTCCGTCATGCTGGAAAAGGCATTGTTCATCACCAAACTGTTCTTGGGTGATTGGGAGAAGTTGCTCTTGGAAGATGTTTTTGTGCCATTCTTTATTCATGGCTGTGTTCTTAGGCAAAACTGTGAGTGAGTCCACTCCCTTGGCTGAGAAGCAACCCCACACATAAATGGTCTCAGGATGCTTTACTGTTGGCATGACACGGTACTGGCGGTAGCACTCACCTTTTCGTCTCCAGACAAGGTTATGTTTGGATGCCCCAAACAATCAGAAAGGGGATTCATCTGAGAAAATGACTTTACCCAAGTTTTCCGTAGTCATCCTTGTACCTTTTGCAGAATATCAATCTGTCCCTGATGTTTTTCCTGGAGAGAAGTTGCTTCTTTGTTGGCCTTCTTGACACCAGGCACTCCTCCAAAAATCTTCGCCTTACTGTGCATGCAGATGCTCTCACACCTTAGCAAGCTCTGCACTGGTGGTGTCCCGATCCTGCAGCTGAATTAACTTTAGGAGACAGTCCTGACACTTGCTGAACTTTCTTGGGCGCCCTGAAGCCTTCTTCACAACAACTGAACCTCTCTCCTTGATCTGGATCTTAATGATTCGATAAATGGTTGATTTAGGTGCAATCTCAGTAGCAGCAATATCCTTGCTTGTGATTCCCTTTTTGTGCAAAGCAATGATGACTGCACGTGTTTCCTTGCAGGTAAATTAATATTTGTGTCTTTCTCAAAACTTTTGGCCAGGGCTGTATGCCCAAGTGAAAGAACTCCGTCGGGTCTTTTTTGCTGGTTGTATCTTGCAGACATTCACCCATTCTATTAATCACAATAATGAGAGAAAATCCAAATGTTTTAGTTGGCACTGAAACAGAAATAGAAGATAACTCTTTTATTGGTGACTCTTGTTTCAGTGACAGCTGTGTAAGAAGACTTTTCTTCCTTTGGAGGATCTCTCCTCCCACTTCCAGTTGTGTCTTGAGACAAGACATGAAGGAAAATCACCCTAAAGTGGCATGGCAGTTATATACCTGATAAGTGACCACTGTACAATGTGTCTGCAAGTAAAAAAAAAAATAGTCAAGCCTAATGGATGGGATTTAAAGTTTGTTCCCTAGACATTTTGTAAGAAAGGCCTCTATATAAACATTAACAAAAAAATTACACCAATAAACCATTAATTCTGAAATGACAAAAATGAGACCCTGTCCATAATTGACCAGATTAAGATAACCATAACTTAGTACTATACAGACTGACTTGTGACACTCCTCAAAATTCTGCAAGGGCTCATTCACCCTTTGAGGTCCTGCTGCCTTGTGTTAAGGCAGCCCATTCAAATGAATGGGTTGACAACACTTTAAAATGTCCACAAAAACAGACTTGTGCCATTTCTGGAAACGTAGTGTACCATAACACAAGGTATTGCATTACTGCACATTGCGGAGTGCTACAGTGTATGTGGGTTCCCTTAGTACATTGGGGTGCCTTTAAAATAGTCTTTGACCACAACTATTGCCTCCGTATGTTCTTGTACCTTCCACTCTAGCTTAGTGCTCTTGTAAATGTTACTTGTTCTTATACAGCTACTGCAATGAATGTGCATAAATTAGGCATGCAAAGAGAAAGATTTGTGCTTTCAAAAAAGTATAATTAATATTATTCTACAGAATTTAGATAGCACCAACAGTTTGTGCAGCGCTTTAAACTATAAAGGGAGACCGTAAAGTTACATTACAGTTCAATAGAGAAGGATTAGGTGGACTCTGCTCATAGAACTTAGTCTAAAAGGGAGGAGGAGGTGGTACAAAAGGTAATAGCTGTGAGGGAAGAGCTGATGGAGATGGTTGACATACAGTATTTATGTAGTCATATGGCTAAAATAAGTCCCTAATCAATGTGGCATTTTGTAAACATTAAAGCTTTCCTTGAGATTCTCTTTGAGACACCATTCCATACTGCAGGCTTGCTTTTCAGACAGTTCCATGACAAAAGTAGGGTATGTTTTTAGTAGCAAAAGCTCATATTTTTATTATTATTATTATACAGGATTTATATAGCGCCAACAGTTTGCTCAGTGCTTTACGATATAAAGGGAGACAATAGAGCAACAATACAATTCAATACAAGAGGGATAGGAGGGCCCTGCTCCTTGGAACTTACAATCTAGGAGGGAGGGGATCCAGGTAGCTACTGTGCATGCATACAACAATATATCAGGAAAGGGTGTAATGCTTCTAAAATAGTTACACATAAGCCAAATTCAGTTCACTTTACTCAGTTAGTGTTCATTCAATTTTTGCACTCTTTAGTAATGTTTGAAAGTCATAGAAGGATTGATTACACATTGGTTTCACAAAAGAGCACATGCTGGCGTCATCTGTGAGAGCTCTGCATTTTGCAGAGAAGCCCACAAGAGTGTAGTGTAGATGACAAATATGTCTGCAACTGACCTGTCATATTCACATTTTGGACCAATTGGGCCCCTGTTCTGGTTGGAACCAATTGTTTTCTTCAGGAGATTTTGATGCATTGGCTCTTTTAGGATTTGGTGCACAGACTTTTTTTTTTTTTTTGTAGACACTTTGTCTTTCTGTCCTACTTCTCCAGTGCCAGGGAGTATGTGTATCTCCAGCCCTGGTCAAAACCAGCTAGGATCACAGCAGAAGTCACAGCCACCAGCTTTGATTTGGACTTTCTGCCTTAATACATGTCACTACTGCCTTGTTGCAAGAAGGAAGCCATGGAGCGGTAGTCCTTTTGTCTTTAGAGTATGGCACCGATAGCAACTCATAGCTCTTTGTCCTGCTGCACTGCGCATGGTGGTCACAGTGTTCACAGAAGGCGTGCTTGTTGACCAGATTTCTGTCAGTTACCTGCCCTTTTTTGCACCCAGCTATTGCCTGCAGGTTGCACCACACACAGAGCCCAGTAGACCCTTGAATTGCTAGTCCCCTGGAGACTGGGTACCTAGGCAGCAATGACTTTTTTCCTCTTGCATTAACTGTGGGTTATCTGATGTTTCTATTAGTGAATTTCTTGACCTTGCCTGCTTCACTCCCATCTTGAGGCTTCTTGAGGTTTTAGGTGCCCAACTCCGCAATAGAAGGCTTTATATCTCATATGGAGAGAGTCCCTGTACAGATACTTTTTAGCTCTGTTTGGTACTCACAAACCTAAAGCAGAACTCAATGTAAAATGTATTTTGTTCCATGCAGTGGGGCTGTGACAAGACTGGGTTTCCTCCTTTATGATGCTTTGACAGGCTCTAACTGCAGCTGTCTTCAGAAAGCTTGTTGTTCTTTGTTTGTGGGTCTTTCTGCCTTTTAAGTTTGCCTTCAGAAAGTGAAATGCATGCTCAATTGGGTTGAGGTCAGATGATTGACTCGGCCATTGCAGAATATTCCGCTTTTTTTTTCCTTCAAAAGCTCCTGGGTTGCTTTTGCAGTGTGTTTTGGATCATTGTTCATCTGTACTGTGAAGCGCCATCTAATCAACTTTGCTGCATTTGGCTGAATCTGGGCTGACAGTATATCTCTAAACACTGCAGAATTCATCCAGCTGTCACATCATCAATAAACACCAATGACCCAGTACCGCTGGAATCCATGCATGCCCATGCCATCACACTGCCTCTACCATGTTTTACAGATGATGTGTGCTTTGGATTATGAGCTGTTCCAAGCCTTCTCCACACTTTTTTCTTCCCATCATTCTGGTACAGATTAATCTTAGTTTCATCCATCCAAAGAATAGTTTTCCAGAACTGATCTGGCTTTTTTAGATATTTTTTTTGGCAGAGTCTAACCTGGCTTTTTTTATTTTTCAGGCTTATGAAAGGTTTGCACCTTATGGTGAACCCTCTGTATTTGCTCTCCTGAAGTCTTCTTTTGATTGTAGACTTTGATAATGATACGCCCACCTCCTGGAGCGTGTCCTTCACTTGTTTGGATGTTGTGAATGGGTTTTCTTTGCCATAGAGAGGATCCTGTGATCATACACCACTGTTGTCTTCCATGGCCGTCCATGTCTTTTTATGTTGCTGAGCTCACCAGTGCGTTCTTCTTTCCTCAGAATGCACCAAACTGTTGATTTGGCCACTTCTAATATTGCTGCTATCTCTCTGGTTAGTTTGTTTTGTTTTTGAAGCCTTACAATGGCCTGTTTCACTTGCATGCACAGCTCCTTTGAATGCATGATGTAGGTTCACAGCAATAGATTCCAAATGCAAATACCTCACTTAGAATTAACTCCAGACCTTTTACCTGCTTAATTAATGAAGAAATAATGGAGTAGCCCACACCTGGCCATGAAACAGCTTTTGATTCGATTGTCTGATTACTTTGGGACCCTTTGAAAAAGGGGGGATGGCTACTCTTAAAGCGGAGTTCCACCTGAAAAAACTGTAGCTGCTGACTTTAAAACACAGACACTTACCTGTCCCATGGTCCAGCGGTATCCTCACCACAGCTGGTTTCACTGGCTGTCTTGCCGGCATCTTCAGTGTGGGCACCCGGCTGTGACAGCTTGTGGCTTCACAGCCGGGTGCCCATTGCGCATGGGCAAGAAGTGCTGCGCTTTGTGAATGGCCCTGTAGTCTTCTGGGACCTGTCATGTGTCCCAGAAGACTACGGGGAGAGAGGGGGGTAGGACAACCTGCTTCCGATCGCCTAGGCCAGTGTCGGCAAGCCGCGGCTCGCGAGCCACATGCGGCTCTTTACCAGTCTAATGCGGCTCTTCTGTGTGCCGGGCGCCTGCTCCCCTCCCTCCTTCGGTGGGGCCGCTCCCCTGCCTCCTCTCGGTTGGCAGCCCCAAAAAGTCCGCGCGGACCTTTTTAATCCGGCTTGCGGATGTGGCTGTCAGGATGTGTGTAGGCTGGGGGGGCAGCGTGCCGAACGTGAGGGGAGGGGAGCTAGGCCCTCTCACAGTCCGCCCTGAAGACCCGAACGGCGCGGGAAGACAGCGAGAGGAACGCAAAAGGTAAGTGAATTGACACGGGGGACTTGGCTTACTAGAAGGGGGGGGGGGGAATAGTACTGTGGGGGATGAAATACTATATGAGGGATGAATTACTTTATGAGGGATGAAATACTATATGGGGGGATGAAATACTATATAGGGGGATGAAATACTATATGAGGGATGAAATACTATATGAGGGATGAATTACTATATCAGGGATGAATTACTATATGAGGGATGAAATACTATATGGGGGGATGAAATACTATATGGGGGATGAAATACCTGAATTACCTATATTGAGGGATGAAATACTATATGGGGGATGAATTACTATATGAGGGATGAATTACTGTATGAGGGATGAAATACCTATATGAGGGATGAAATACTATATTTGAGGGGATGAAATACTATATGGGGGGATGAAATACTATATGGGGGATGAAATACATGAAATACTATATGAGGGATGAATTACTATAAATGGGGGGATGAAATACAAATATGGGGGATGAAATACTATATGGGGATGAAATTACTATATGGGGGATGAAATACTATATGAGGATGAATTACTATATGAGGGATGAAATACTATATGGGGGATGAAATACTATATGGGGGATGAAATACTATATGAGGGATGATGAATTACTATATGGGGGGATGAAATACTATATGAGGGATGAATTACTATATGAGGGATGAAAATAAATGAGGGATGAAATACTATATGGGGGGATGAAATACTATATGCCCTATGGGGGGATGAAATACTATATGAGGGATGAAATTACTATATGAGGGATGAATTACTATATGGGGGATGAAATACTATATGAGGGATGAAATACTATATGGGGATGAAATACTATATGGGGGATGAAAATACTATACGGGGGATGAAATACTATACGGGGGATGAAATACTATACGAGGGATGAAATACTATACGGGGGGATGAAACTATATGGGGGATGGGGGGTGGGGGATGAATTACTATATGGAGGGATGAATTACTATATGGGGATGAATTACTATTTGGGGGATGAATTACTATGGGGGATGAATTAACATGGGGGATGAATTACACTATGGGGGATGAATTACTATATGGGGGATGAATTTTACTATGGGGGTCATGAATTACTATATGGGAGATGTATTTTCAGTTTTAAAAATGTGGCTCTCAAAATAAATTTCAATCATGGTTTTTTTGGCGAGATTTCTCAGTTGAAAAAAAAGGTTGCCCACCACTGGCCTAGGCGATCGCAGAAGTGGGAGCAGGTACCTGTTAAAATATTGGGTACCCGCTCCCCAAAGGTGCCAATCCTTAATGGGGAGCGGGGGACAAAGGCTTAAAACAGAACTTCCTCTTTTGGGTGGATCTCCGCTTTAAGAGCTGTAGTTCCTAAGCCCTTCCTCCATTTTGGATGTACATACCCTCAAATTAAACCCGAGAGTGTGCACTTTCAGCCCATATCCATTATTTAACTATAGCTTGAATATGTTTTGGTACATACCTGGAAAAAAAATAAATTGTGCCTGTGTCCAAATATATATATGGACCTAACTGTATATGTTGCCAAAGGCTAGATAAGAGTGAGCAGTCCTTTTTATCAGGAGATTTTTAAGCAAATCTGTCTCCTATTGGACATACCCCATGTGGATTTTCTGGCATCCAGGCTCAACTTGAAGGTGGCCAGGTGCATGGACAGGACAAGAATCCTTGGGTGGAGACAATGGGTGCTCTAGTGGTACTGTGGGATTTTTATTATCTGATATACGCTTTCCCTCTTCTGAAGCTTCTGCCCTGGCTTTTATTTAGAATAGAGCAAGAGGGCATTCCGGTGATTCTAGTGGCCTTTTTCGATTTTTGTTATGTGGATATAATTTACCTGGTCACAGATGCCCCCGTTGCCTATCATTGCATCCAGATCTTCTGTCTGCACTTTCACATTTCCTGTTTCATTTGTAAAAATTCCATTGATATCAGAGATCAGTAGCTCAAGCTTCAATTTACTCACACACAGTGAGAGACAGCTGTGCTTAAAATGGAAATACTTCTGGTCTACTCTGGGAATCTTTTGTCATATTTTGATTGTTAAATAATGTAACTAGCAAATAGCAGACTGAAGTCTGACAGCAGTATGGGAAACTTCCTACAACAACATCCACCCACCTCTCCACTTCGACCAGAGGAGACCTTGTATTAAGTGATAAAATATAATGCTTCTCCGGAATGTCAAAGAGCATTCAGACTGGCTCAATTTAGTTCCGGCAGAAGTTGGGAAGTCGCCTTTAGGGCACTTTCACACTGATCCGTAGCAATAACACGGTAAAAATGCATATACATATTTTACCGTGATTGCGGTGCGCTTTTCACAGGACATGTGACTTAAAAACAGCATCAAAAACACTACACGAGTGCGTTTTTGATACGTATTTGCCACGCTTCCAATGCATGTCAATGGAGTGCTGCATGTTTAACTGACCAAATATGCCCCAAAAATGCGGCAAGTGTGAATTTGTTTTACAACTCAATAGAGGCGCAATGGGCCAATGTGAACACATACATAGGAAAGCATTTTTCTTCTGCTTTTCTTTAGTTTTTTTGGGTTTTTGTTTTTTTAATGCAAACCACTTCAAAACCTCAGTGTGAAAGCTGCCTCAATGCTTTGGAACACGGCACAGCTTATTGTATGTAGCTGATGCTACAACAGTATAGTATAGCACACACAATGGCTGCATCAGTTAGTAATTGAAATAGTTTGTTTGGACCAGCTTGGCCCAAGCAAACTATTTAAAAGTAAACCTGATATTCCACTTTTAAGTAGTTGTAAACTGGATGATATTTAGCTTGCTAAAGCCAAACAATTGCACATTTTTTTAATGTGAATACTGCAGTAATTATGAAACTGTGTGCGCACTAAAAATACAACATTCCCTTTAAGGTGATCCTAAACACACAGTGTTTACCGTATTTTTCGCCATATAAGACGCACCCAATTTTAAAGGAGGAAAATCTAGAAAAAAAAGATTCTGAACCCAATACTGTAGTAAAATATTTTATATCAACTGTATAAAGTTAACAGCAGTTTAAGAACAATTTTATGCCAACCATGTAACAAATCCAGAAATGAAAGAACTCACGGTTCGGATCGTTCCACGGATCAGGAGTCACGGATCGGATCTTTTTCGGATCAGTAAAAAAAAAACAACAAGACAAACATAAAGATAATTACAATCAAAAACCTCCTGCGCTCACAAGGACTCCTACCCTATAACCATAAGCTGCTGACACTAAACTTATACCCAAAATAAGTGAATAAACAGTGCAAAAAATATATATATAAGTGCAGCGCTAATTAATATCTAATAAAACGTAATACAATATAAACTCAATCCCCAAAAAAAACATATACAATACATTACAATACATACAGTGTCATGCATATATTACCTCATGGGGAATATCTCGTGCAAAAAGTGAAAAATAAGTTATAAATAATAAAGTATCATATATAATAATAATAAGTGGTGCCACACTTAAAGTGCACAAAGGATGAACGAAAATTCAAATACAAAAAAAGTCCAAAATTAGTAATAATACTTTTTGTTTAATACATCATCCACCATTGCCCCCACTCATCAGGTAATGTCCACCATTGCCCCCACTCATCACGTAATGTCCACCATTGCCCCCACTCATCACTGTAAAGTCCACCATTGCCCCCCACTCGTCATCACCATCACTGTTCCAGTGCAACATTGCCCCCACATTAGTAATAATAGCCAGTAACATTGCCCCCACATTAGTAATAATAGCCAGTAACATTGCCCCCACATTAGTAATAATAGCCAGTAACATTGCCCCCACATTAGTAATAATAGCCAGTAACATTGCCCCCACATTAGTAATAATAGCCAGTAACATTGCCCCCACATTAGTAATAATAGCCAGTAACATTGCCCCCAACATAGTAATAATAGCCAGTAACATTGCATTGCCCCGCTCCTCACCTGTTGTTGTAGATCCGCGCTATGGTAGGATCCACGAGCAGAGGGGGTGATGACGTCAGCGCGCACCGCCGGGTGTACTAAGATGGCCGACCGCTCCAGAGATAGGCCAAAGCCGCGGCCTTTCCTACGGCCGTGGCCGCGCCTCACGGATTCTCTCTCTATTCGTCGTATAAGACGCACCAATTTTTCCCCCCCAGTTTTGGGGAAGAAAAAGTGCGTCTTATACGGCGAAAAATACGGTAGTTTACATTGTCACTTCTCTTTCTGTATGTAGATGATGGCCCTGTAATTATTTTAATTGAAAAAAACATAAGGGAAACATAAGCAGGAGGAGCATCTAGTCCTCTGCTGCTGGTCACATGTTCAAAATAATAAAACTAAAAACCTTTGGGATACAGGGTAAACATAAATCGTATCAATAAACTGTTTTCAATAGTCGTACAAAAATATATATTTGGCATCCCATAGCAACTGAGTATGAGCAGCATGTAATACAGCATTTATTGATAGTTTTTATGATGTGGGCTTAATGACACCTTAAATGGACAGTTACAATATTGTGGACAATGCTGGAACGGTGAGCTTTGCTCCTAACTGCTTTTTCTGGAGTTGAGCAATGGCCACCTCAAAAGCATTTAATGTGAACCTTAACTATTAAAGACTGTTGGCCTCATGGGTTCTTTTTGACAAGTACATTAGTTTGGGCTGTTTCTTCATAGTTTAATTACAGAAATATTGAGGTAAATTCCTGTGAGCTCTGACCCTGAGTGTCATTTGAGTCTGCAGC